GCTTTGTAGATTATAACTTAATAAGTGAAAGAAGACGAATGTAAAGTGTAAACAATATCAATTCAGAGCAAAGTGCCTTTATACGCATCTCTGTGTTACTCCTCTTAAACAATCGATTACAGAAACAGAGTAAATAATAACAACAATACAATCTATACTATTTCACAAAAGCCCCTCATTCATCATTATCAAGTTCTCTCTGTAATGTTGTTATTTACATTCCTCGAGTTCCACCAAAACGTTCTCACTCCTTCTCCAATCTTATTATTATTATCGCCGCCGACATCTCTTCTCTCTGACTCAACTTCCTGTTGTTCAATCGATCCCGGATTCTCCGTCAAACACTGTTCCCAAAACACATCGTTAACCCCTGTTTTCGGAGCAGCCGCGGTAACGGGCTCTGAGTTCATATCAATCTTTGAAGATTTGGGTCGTGTATCGCCGATACTTAGACTTTCCGCACAGCTGACTGACTCGTTCACGTCAAGATTCATGCTTGGTGACTGCACACCGCTCTTATCGCATGATTCCTTCACAAGACTCTCCCAAAACGATAGAGAAGATTCTAACTTTTCGATATCTTCTGCGTGTGACCGGCTTGGAGGAAGAGAGTTCTCTAGTAATCTTCTTTTTCTTCTCTCGTTGGTTTCAAGGTTTAGTGAAAGTCCTGGTTTTTCTAAAACCTGTGAAACGAATGATACTATCGATTTCTGACGTTGCTCCATATGTTGTAACCGATCTTTCAATGTCGTCACGTGAAGCTCAAACCCTTTCCGTTCTTGCTCTTGGTTCTGTAACTCCGTGAGAAGGCCGTCTTTCTCCCTTTTTAGTCTCTCGATTTGATCCTTCATGCTCTGTCTTTCTGATTCCGTCAAAGGATTTTGCGCTTGTAGATTCGTTAACGAATGGCTATGAACTGGTTTTCGTCTATGAATGTTCTTCATAAGGTAAGGTCGACCTCTAACAAAATCATCGTTTGCGAACTCCCATTTCTCCGGATCGATTTTCCTAAAACCCTATACAAAAACAAAAACCGCAAAATGTTAAAACCCGAAACATCACACACAATGATCCTAAAAGAGATAAATGGACACAAAGCTAAAAACTTTACATATGTATTAAGCTGGCGAATGAAACTCGAGAAGTTCTTGTGCTTAAAGAATCTCGGAAGAAGGTCTCTAGAAAACTCGAGCGGGTTATTGACGATGAAACTTGTGTTGTTATCGCTCCAAGAAACGATCGAATCAGATGAAGAATCATCTACCATTTCATATGTTTTAGTAAGGAAAGGTGGAAGTGAGCTTGAACCTCCATTACTTTCATCCATCTTCAAATCCAAAACCGCAATTCCTCGATTCTTCGATTGAGTCTATTCTCTGTTGGATAGAACAAAAGTAAAGAACTCATTGATCAGAATCAGATAACCATTGATTGAAATCACTAAAAGCATAAATTTTTAACTCAACAATTCNTCAAGATCTAAGAAGCATACATAAAATTGATAATCAAATCCAANAAATTTCCTCATTGAATCGAATTAAAGACCAAAATGAATCCACAAAAACCCTTAACGCAAAAACCCATCTTGCTTATCCAATCACAATCCAAAACTTAAGCCAGAATCTAAACGAATCCGAAAGAATAAATCAAGCAAAAACCATTTTGCTTGTCCAATCCACACTTCTTGATTCCGTGTCTTGAAATCAGACAGAATCAATCAACAATTCNGACAAGAAATGATTTGATTTAACTTGTCCACTCGTGTTCTAGATGAGGAATCTATCAAAACGTACCAGATGATTGGAGAAGATTGACCCGATCTCGATGGAGGTAACAAATTGGAACAAGATTCTTTCTNCAAAGGCTCTNTTGATTNAGGATTAAGCACGGACCCGTGAGATTAAAGGATCAAAATTTCGAANGAAACAAGAACAGAGAAGAACGTAAAGCAAAAGGGGTATTCGAATTTTGGGGGTTTTGGCTTTGGCTTCGGACGCAACAACAAGAAGACGGGTTTGGTGGTCTTATTATTATCAGCTTTTCTTCTTCTTTTTTTTGCCAGAAAAAAAAATTATTAAACTGTTTTGTTCTGGCTTATTACTAACCAGTCTTCTTCTAAAATTTTTGAAGACTAATTATTAATAATTTTTGAACATCATGTATTTTGAAGACTATTTTAAATAATTTACTAACCATATGGTCTAAAAAAATTAGAATAAATTTAGGAACATCATTTTTTCCCAAAACGAACTCAATATATTGAAGAAGCATTTCTAAAATTTAAGAAAGGTTTCTG